ACTTATCAGTGCAATTAAGCACTCACCAAGTGGTTTACAAAGTGTAAGCTGATTTCCCCCAACAAGTTGGCTACTTATTTTAGTGAAATTGGAAGGATTCCAGGCAGAGTCAACCCTGGAGTCCCTGGATGCTATGAAACTGAGAACCTTGTGGTTTGTGACTGAGTGGTTGAAGTACAGTCATTTAACCACTGCACCACCAGGGCACAATATATCTATATGTGTCCTTTCCATTTCTAACTGGACTTCAGAGTAGCCTGCAAACATAATTATCAAAATGTATAAGATTCTTGTATTGTATTTTACAATGGGCCATCCTCCTTGTTTCTTTTTTCCATTTTCTTTCTTTCTGGTTTGTTAAATGCTATGAACCCCAGAAAACCACATGATAGGTTTGCCTCAGGGTTGCCATAAATAGGGAATGACTTCAAGACACAAAGCAGCAACAATAGTTCAGCATGTCCACCAGGGTGAAAACAATCATAATTCTTTTTTGATTTGTTTCTACACTGCCATCACCTCTACTTCACATGTAGTGAATAGTGTTACAAATAATGTCCTTAATAATGTTCCACTCAGGAATTTGATATGTCATAATATGTATCAAAATGTATAAATGAACTTTATGTTCACAATACTGGTGGTTTGATCATTTATTTATGTTAAGAGGTAGCTGTTATACCCCAGCATAGCATCTGTGGTTTCGCTTATGGCACAGAAGCAAAGTGATTACTGTATCATGAGGTAATCGTACTCAGGGGCATTACAAAACATGAAATACAACAGAGTTGAGGAAGTTCTCCCAATTTTCCAGGGCTGTGATTATCACATAGGAGCTCACAGCTTGCACTTGCCAGATGTTTCAAAATATCTCTGGCTCTGGAGTTGTTTCATTGCTTTAACAAGAAGATTTTACAACAGACAAAAAGACTGGCATTTTCTCTGCAGGAAGAAGATGAAATTGGCAATTCAGAACAGCAGTTTTTACCTAGCGATATGGTTTGCATCGATTAATCTAACTCATTAGAATATTAACTAACCAATCACAACCAAGACTTAAGCCATTGTAATCCATGCCATATGCCTGCTGCTCAGTAAACATTTGCTTCTAGTGACAGCTGAGAAATTGGGAACTTTAGGAGTCCTAGCAGCAGTGGAGACTAGAATAAGAATGTGTGAATTATTTGTTTCATTTTTTTTAAAAAAATACATTTTTGCCAAGTACTAGGGATGCAATTCTTCATTAAATTTCTTCACAAAACAAGAAGCAAGTGATTTCAGCAATTTTCTTCCTGCTCTGAGAAAATATTAGAAAGCAAACAGTTTTCAAAGGTTGAGACTTATTCTGCCCAAAATTTACATGTGTCTGTTTTGTGTAGAAAATAGCATTTTCTGAACAGTAAACAGATTTTTTAGTGAAATATAATATTGCATATTATTAATATTAGAAATATCAAAATGTTGTTTTCTATGCAAAAAAGAAAAATGTTTTCAACACAAATCAACCATGTGTGAATTTTATGCCAAATGAATCCCCTATTACAGCATTCTCTGCATAAGAAAACATCATTTTCTGGGAAAGAAGTCTATGAAAGCTCATGCTGCCAACTTCTTTCTTTCGGTTAGGGCCTCAGCACACGGAGGCCCTGGAGCCGCCGCCGGATGGAGCGCTGCGGGGATGCAGCCTCCGCATCCCGGCGCTCCTGCGGTGGCTCTGGAAGGAGCGCTAAATCAGCGCTCCTTCATCAAGACAGGGAAAGTGCACCCTAAAAGCGGCGGGCGCACTTTCCCTGACTCAAACACCGCGGCGCATCCGGTCGCCGCGGCGTGAGGTCATCCCCGGAGCGCTGGCCGTGCAAACAGCCGGCGACTCTGAGGGCGACCTCAGGAGGAGGAAGGGGCGCCACTCGTGTGGCTGCCCCTCCTCTTCAGGGCCCGGAAGATGGCTCAATTAGCCGTCTGCCGAGGCCCTTAGTCTCAAAGGTGCTACAAGATCTACATACTATTTTTATATGGTAGAATTCAAAGATATAGCCATGTTAGTCTGTAGAATTAGTATGTAGAGAGATCTTGCAGCACCTTTGAGACCAACTGAAAGAAAGAAGTTGGCAGCATGAGCTTTCATAGACTTCAGTCTACTTCATAACTGAAAGCATCTGACCAAATCTCAGAGCTTTTGCCTGAGCAACATAGCGAAAGATAAAAGTCATTGTTTAGGAATAGTTCCTTCTCTGTTGGCACCATATAAAACTCACTCAAGCTTTCATGGAATATCAAGTCATGAAGAGGGCATTTCAGGATCCATGATAATCAAAGTCTGACTGCTATTCTTGTGATGAATTTAATCTGTAACATAGTTGTAGGCAATACATGACTTCCAACATGTTGCTGGAGTGCAACTCTGGCTCATCAGTCCTAGCCAGCACATCCAATGGTGGTAAGCAGTGGGATCTTGAGTCCCACATATGAAGGATCATACATTATTTAATCCTGCTCTAAGTAATATAGCTCTATCAGAAAGTGTGATGTCATGGCAAGAGTATTGGTCTAGGAGGAAGTTATTTGGTTAACAAATAACAGGGTGCCAAAGATGGATGCCAAAAGGGATGCACTGGCTAAGTGGTTAAGACGCTGAATCTTGATTGCAAGATCAGCAGGTTGGCAGTTCAAGGCCCATGTGCTGCATGATGGGGTGAGCTCCTGTCACTAGTACCAGCTTCTGCCAACCTAAGAGTTTGAAAGCATGCAAACACAAGTAGATAAATAGGCACCACTTTGGTGGGAAAGTAAACAGCGATCTGTGTAATCATGCTGGCCACATGATCACAGAGTAGTCTCTGACAAT